CAAGAAGGAAAGAAAAAGCAATCAGAACACTATTCCATAGCATGAACAAGCTATAGGTTCAGCGCAACACAGAAAACGTAACCAGTTGCAGAGATTAAACTCCGAATAAAAGTAATATCGACCGGCCATCTTGACTGCCTCGACACTGCGGAAGGCCACAAAAAACAAGAAACGCATTTTGTGCCGTAGGGAAACCGTTTGTCACTAAAGTTATGTGCACCTAAAGAAAATCGAAGCCATGGCACAATCTCGTAGTCTGGTCGGCAATGTGCGTTCGTGTTACGGCAGTTGACGTACTGGGGTTTTTTGTTGGGACTCTTATGATGCGACATTGCCATATTGTGATGCTCTTGACGTAAGACACCAATTCTTTCGCAGAAAGGCGTAGAAAGCAGCTGCAAACTGACCTTCCCCTTCAGAGCTGAATCATCGACGCTGTGATAGTAATCGCAGGACTCTTTAGTACAATTGTGGTCGTTCAGTAAATGTTGTCGTACATTGTCGTTCATTTCTCGAGGTAGTTGGCAAGTGATTTCAGTATCGGTCATCTGCTGAAGTTGCACTTCATGAAACTCAGCTTGTAATTGTGAAGCACCTCTGGTACATTCTAACCAGTACTCATTCTTAGAGCACTGTTTAAGCTTACATTTTGGTTATGCTGTTCAGGATAATTGTTAGCAGGTGTGATTTTCCTTTACATTTCGTGCATCACGCTGCCTCCACAGTGCTTATAAACGAGTAGCTTGGCCGAGAGTGATCGGTGGACCTGGTGACTAAACTCACCATATCTGTTTGGAGCACACATTATTTTCTTGGTATCAGTTTCAGCTCCGAATGCTGTTCGAACTGCACTAGACCAAAGAAAGTGTGCCCTACTACAGTACACGTGCATATCGAAAACGCGCTAGCAATTTCTAACTTGAAGGAAACAAGTTCCTAAATATTCCCTAAAACGATTGCATGATCAGGTTTGTGCAATATTTATATTGCCAGTTCACTCAGGTAAGCATGTGTGTGCTTTTTCTGTGAATATACAACGAATAGGCAGAAATAACCAAGTGAATATTTACGTACAAGCTGACCGATACTGCATTGTGTCGGCGTGAACGAAAGTGTTGGGATACCCCCACCGAGGTGGCTAAAGTGAAATATAGGGTGGTCGTTAGCAGACGTCGTTAGGAACCACTTGGTGCATAGATTATAAGAGCGTGCAGGCCAAGATTGCGCTTAAATTATGCTCCTTCAGCGTAAGTAATCGCAGTAGCTAGGGTGCTGACGCGATAGCTATAAGCCGCTGTCACTCGTCTAGAAGAGCCAGATCTAAACGCAGGCTCAACTCAGGAAGCTTAGTCGATTAGCTTCATTCTCTCCCCACTTATTGTTTAGCTTTTCTAAGTGCGCAGAAAAATCCTTTTTTGTGTGGCATTGTTTACGGGAGCCCTAAAAAAGTACAACTGTGCTTCTCTGCACCAGTTGGTGAAAAAAGAACGGGATATATACAAAATAAATCGCTGATCCCTCTTTCTAGGAATCGGTACAACACGAAGGTGAAACGGAAAACGTGTCTTCACACAGGTACTTTAGCGTTTATTGTGCCTTGTTTCTTCACAAGGGCGAAGACCTGAATGCTACAGCCACAAATATTAAAGCCACACGAAGACTGTAAGCGGCTCGAAACATACAGAGTTCAAGCACGAATTGAGTATACAAAGGATGAGCGCGGACTAACAACTGCCACAATTCGACACATGAAGCGCGCTGTTGGCACAGAAAAGAAGACGAACGAAATGAATGCAAAAGTAAACACAGACAAGCGCGAACTACTCTTACTCCTTAGTTTGTCACAATTCTTACATCTTCGTTTGCGAGCAGTGTGCTCCTTTCGTAAACGTGGTCGCAACATCGAGCGGTGTCACAGCAATGAGTGCATCCCGAGTCAAACATGCGCGTGCACAAGAGGGGCCATGCTCCGTGGGGACCATTTTTATCAAAGCGCGAGAGGTGCCGACTGTTAGAGCGCGCCCAACGTGAGGTCTTTAAGCGATCTCTCTATTGATGACAGAAACGAACTGAAGTCGCGGAGCCCTGACGACTGCCAAGTGTTATAGGATGTATCTAAATAGCTTGCCAATAGCCTTGTTCTCAACTAGGTCCGAGGTCTTACTAGACCTCGGATCGTGCATCCGAGGTCTAGTAAATAATTCTTATGCAAAATTGCTACCATCTGTCGGCCGTCATGTGCATGCCACCATATTAGAGGCTCGAGCGCGGTGCTGTACGCACACTCCGCATGTGTTTACGTATACGTATACGTAAGGCGTCTATACGTGAGGCTTGTATTGCCCGATAATCACAGCGTCGACGTATTGCGGCGTCCCTTGCTGCGCACACAGAAGAACTCGCAATGCTGAAGGAAGAAAGATAAGCCTTGAACTATGCTCCTTGTTATTTTTTCAATCTCATGACGTTTTCCTCGTGTGCTCTGTCTACTGCACCTGAAACCCATGTTTGCGTTCTCCTTTCCAAGCAATTAAGAGGGCAATTAGCATTTGTACTCGTGTACCCCAAAATTGCTGTATGCCAATGCAAGACAGTTTTTACAACGTTTTCGCTATCACATATTTACCAAGACAAGGCAGCTCGTACGCTTCACGTAGAAGCCACGTTGACGCAACGTACTTTATGGTAGGGTCATTCCACGCCAAAACTCCCAGCCCTAGCACTCGACCATCTCCGATTTACTTGAAAATTTTCACAACTATCTACCACAAGTCAAAAGTGTTTCCCCGAAACATTTTTGGCCAAAAAAAGTTTCCAGTTCCGTAAGCCTCACTTGAACTCCTTCGGAAAGCTAGAAATCGTACCTCGTAAAACACGTTGTCGAAAAATTCGTTCTTCCTGAATTAAGTTAAGACAAATTTTTACCTTTACAAAAATGGTAGGAGTTCTATTTAAAATAAGTATTAAGAGCTTTTCCGTTTTAGTAGATTTTTCATGTGGCCTCAAATATGGACAATCTGGTCCATATTGGAGAGTTTTTATAGAAAAACAACATTAAGAGAAATGTGATAGTTGACATTACCATATTGCCAGAATGTTGTACTGCAAACCAAAAATATTTTCGGGCATATACAGTGCTATATAAAGTTTACAGGTGGTGACAAATTTGCACAAATGCTCAATTTTGCACGTGCACAGGGCTTATCTTTCTTCCTTCAGCATTCAGAGTTCCTCTCTGTGTTCAGTAAGGGATACAGCAATACCACGGCATTGCGATTATCAGCCAATACACGCCTCATGTGGACATGTCTTACGTATACGTATAAGTAAACACACGCGGACTGTGCAAACTGTGCTGCACTCGAGCCTCTTACGTGGCGGCATGCGTACGATGGCCGACAGATGGCAGCGATTTCGCATGAGGTGTATACTGCCACGTGCCGCGAAGCGAGAGGTCACTCATTTGGCGCCATGCACAGGAACCTTTTCCTTTTGTCATTTGCTTGCGATACTTAGTATATAATTTGCAACGTTATATTCATGACAGAAATACGCCAGCAGAGACGTAGTGGATCCTGGCGTAAAACACCTGCGTGTTGAAAAATTGGGGCAGCTACGAATTAGCGGTGCATAAACTCATTCAATACAACAGCTGGTGCCGTTACTCTTCACTTTTACACACTGATGGCATTAACATCACTTCCCTTTCTCAATTTCTTTTCCCAGAAAAATGATAGAATGTGATACACAACTTACTCGAAAATGTAATGTCATCGGTGAAGTGCAGGTTACTGAGGTACTGTCTATTACCTTTTGTCCTTGAATATTTCTATTCTAGGCTTCGAAAAACCGCCTGTAAGCACGCGGGAAACAGCATTGGGGTCATCGTATTCTTTTGTCTTACACCTGTCTTCATCGGTATTCTGTCGTTTTCTTTATGGAACTCTATGGTGACACATAATTGTAATGAGAGATTAATGTGACCGACACGCCCCGGTTAGCGGCTGCATGCATACTGCCGTTTTATTAGACGTTCCACAAGTATATACAAGCACAAGGACACAGTTTTGCCAACCTATACACTGAAGCCAAAACTGCAGAATACAACACTTGCCCTCCCTCAATTATTTTATAGTACGTTTGTATTTAATATTATAGGTTCATTTCGCTCACATGCACGCCAGTATATACACCTCAATATATACACATCAAATGCACTGAATAAATACACGCCAAATTATCGATACACATGCAGAAATATTGAATACTTCAATATACAGGTACACCAACTTCGAACTATTTATTCGTTCACAGTTAGTAACCATATTGGTCCGGTGGCCATCTCTCGCGGTCTCGCTGAATGCGGTGACCAGGTGGGCACGACACCAACGGTTCTTTTGCAGGGTTGACGGGCGGACGTGAGGCAGTTTCTGAAGCGGGAAACTGTCCTGCGGGTGATCTCGTTGGTGACCCGGAATCGTTGTCTGCACAGGCACAGATTGCGCTGCGAGAACACTTGCCTTCGCAGACGCTGTCTGCCATGCTGCAGTAAGAATTGTCGCATCTAAGGGATCGTCATGGAACGACGATTCACACCCAGCAGAATGTTCCTAACGGCCATTGTCGCTAGGGCACCGAGAAGGTGCCTTGCACAGCTTTGTCACGTTCTATGTTTTGCTGTCGCCGAGAATGAAGGATGCTGGACCGCACTGCCTAATGACTTTCCTTTGTTTAGAGAGGGAGATATCAACCTTGAATGGAACCGATGGTTTCTTCACCCAGTCTGGTTCTTTCACTACCCTTGCCGTCAGTTTTACCGCTCGGCTCTTGTCAGTGTAGGCTTTGCTGTGCTCTTGGCTGCACGTTGCCAGAGCCTGGTCAGTTCCTGATAGGACCTTTGCGAATGACTTAGGCGATAAGACGAAGATCTCAAGCTTCATTCTTGGCAGCCTTCCATGTAACAGTACCGCAGCGGACACTTATGTTGTGGCGTGTGGCGTTCACCTGTATGCGGCAATATAATCCCGTACAACCGTTCGCAGTGGACGTTGTTTCATACGGGCCAATTGGAGGTAAGTATTGAACGTGCCATTGAACCGCTCGATCTGTACGTTTCCCTGTGGGTAATAGACAGATGAATGCGACAGACGGATCACTTGTTCATGTAAGAAGTTGACAAATTCTTTGAACATCAACTTGGGCCCATTATCACAAAGTATCTCTTCAGGATATCCTCTTCGTGCCAATACATTAAGCAGGAATTCGGTCATGGTGCTTGTAGAAACTTCTCTTGAAAACTGTACTTCTGGCCATTTTGAGAAGTAGTCCACTAGTGTCAGGACAAATCTGCAATCTGGAGGCGCCCTCTCCAGGGGACCAACAATATCAATGGCAAGTTTCTGCCATGGTCTCTCTGGTAACTCAACAGGTTGCGGCGGAGCAGGCGACGTCATTGCCGATTTGTCTGGTGCTTGACAGATGCTGCAATTTAGACTGCTTTTTCCGCGTAAATTTCCATGTGGGGCCACCAAAATAGCTCCCTAACTGTGACCTTGGCGCGTGCAATGCCCTGGAGTATTTCATGCTCTGTTGCCACAAGTTGAGCCACGAAAGATGAAGTACAAGCCTCTCTGCACACATCAGCAATTCGCTCACTACTGACAATTCTTCTCGAACTCGGAAGTATGTTTGCAGATCTTGCGGCAAGTCTCGGTGTGATGGCCAACACCCATTTAAAAACGTCTTAACCTTTTAAAGAGTGGCATAAGCCAGAACCGCTTGTTCAAACTGCTCTTTTGTCACGCCAGCTAGTTGAACCATAGAAACAATTTTTCCCCAGGATTCAGCTCTCTATCAGCAATATGAACAAGTAACCATGACAGAGCATCAGTTAGTATGTCGGACGAGCCTCTCTGGTACTCCACCGTGAAATTGTACCATAGTAGCCATGCTCACCAACGTGCATTTTCTAAGTGGGCGTTGGCCTGAGCCTTGTGAAGACAAAAGCAAAACGCGTGCTTGATGGTCTGTTTGGAGAGTGAAGATCCGTCCCCACAGGTATGTATGTCAATGCTCGCATGCCCAAATGCATGCAAGTGCTTCCTTCTTGCCAACTGCATACATTCTTCCAGACGGAAATAGCGTACGTGATGCAAAAGCAACAGTACGAAGATTATCAATGGCATGCTGCTGGAGAACTGCTCGTATGACACATTCAGATGCATCAGTCGAGATGATAACTGGAAGCGCAGGATCAATCATGTGCAAGAAAAGGCCTGACGATATTACCGCCTTCACCGTGCGGAAACTGTTATACACATCTACAGATTTGGTGAAGGTTTCACCTTTACCAAGAAGAGCCCTCATTGGTTCTCTCATCTCAGCCAAGTGTGGCACAAACTTGGCTTAGTATTCCACCAACCCAAGAAAGGAACGGAGTTAAGCGATGTTTCTTGGAATTGGCATTTCCACAATCGTGTTCATTTTTCCCGACAGTGGCGAAATACCGCAAGGTGTCACTTTTTGACCCGAGAATGCGAGCTCCCGAACTCCAAACACACATTTACTGTTGAGTTTCAGGCATGCGTATTTGATACACTGCGTCCAAGTTTTAGGTGCTCCTCAGCAAATTTGCCAAAAACAATGACATGGTCAATGTAAAAGAGGATACCCGCACAATTGCGAAGGATTAGAGACATCATACTCTGGAAAGCAGCAGGTGTTGAGGATAGCCGAAAACAAACGCGCTTGCAGCGGTAGAGCCTTTCATGTGTAATAAAAGCTGTCAAGTCCCTACTCTCCAAAGCCAGGAGAACTTGGCGGTAGGCAGACGCTAAGGCAAGTTTCGAAAAGTGCGTGGCACCAGCCAAGGCATGAAGCAACTTATCCATGCGAGGCTGCGGAAAGCTGTCCAGAACGATGGCCTTGTTAGGCTCACGTAAATCTACACCAAGCCTAATTCTTCCACCTTTCTTCCGAATGCTATAATAGGGGACACCCATTCTGACGCTTCCATACGTTCAATGGTGTTGAGGATTTCCAAGCACTGCAGTTGGGCAGACATGGGTGGTCATAACGTTAAAGAAAGACGGCGAAGTTTTGATGCTACTGGCTGAAAATCCGCACGTGTCTTAATCTTGTGAACGAAAACTTTTGCCAGACCGAGCTCATTCGTGAACAGAGAGTAAAACCTTTGCTGAAGTGCTGATGGCAGCTGCAAAGATGAATCCATTGAACATGTCCGAGATACTTCGGCGTTAGGTACCGTGCTGGATTCGAAACACTGCAACTCAGACCTTTCAATGCGCAGCTTCAAAGCCTTAATACCATCCAGGCCAACGAGAGAACTACCCTGTTATACGACATAAAAGAGAAGAAGTGCACTGTGATTCTCAAAAAAAAAGCTCAAAAAAGGAGCAACGTCGAACCGATATTGGTCTTTTGAAATAATCTAGAAGCGTCACACGCGGAGCGGGAACAAGCGGCACGCCAGAGAAATATTGGTCAAACACCTTGCCTGAAAGAATGGAAACGGAAGAGCCAGAATGTACTGATAGCTTCATTATAACCTGCCCGACTTTAACGTGACTGTAAATTCAAGATTTTAAATTCTGTTGAACAACAATAACCTCTATGGCTTCATCCTGAAATGGGCTATCTACTGAAACCTCATGGACAGGTGCCTGCGACCTCTTCTGGTTGCAGACATTTTCGAAAGATCCGATATTGTCACAAAAGAAGCACGTTTTTTTAGCCGAGTGATCCGAATGATCCTCTTTCTATTACGATCCTCTCTACATAATCCTCTCTTGAGTCAAATGATCCCTCTCTATTATTTCTCCAGGATGTTTATATATTCTTCATCGACGCCCTGATTCCGCAGTGTCTGCATGACTGCTGTTATCTCTACTGAATCAAATGCCTTTTCATAAACTGTGAATGCTATGTGTAGTAGATGTTGAATTCTGAGCATTTCTTTATCACCTGATTGATACTTCTGTCACCTAAACACGAATCACAAAAAAATGATTACTGAATTGGGCATGGAGAGCAGGAAGTCAATAATAATTCTGCAGAGTAGAAAAGTACTGTACAAACACCTCGGAAGAAAACAGGGTTTCGAGATAGGTAGCATTACCCTAGAAGTGGCAAAAAAGTACGTCTAGTCATAACAAGTAGTAACCACGTAGCTGAACCACGAAATTGAAATACCTAAGAAAATGGGAATGAAATTGAGCCCATTTGGCATGCATTCTCAAATCATGACTGGTAGACCGCGACTATCCCTCAAAAGGAAGGTATATAACAGCTTAATCTTGCCGGTACTTACCTACAGAGCATGAACCTGGAGTCCTACAAATTGCACTCAAGTTTAATTGAGGATGAAGCAGTGAGCGATGGAAATAAATTGATCGGTGTAACCTTAAGAGACAAAAGTACAGCAGAGTGGAGCAGGAAATCAACCGGGTTTAACCATATCATAGTTGAAATTAGGAAGGATGAATGGACATGGGCCCGGAACGTAGCACGTATAGGCAGAATAACCGCTGGTCAGTAAGGGTAACAGGCTAGATTCTCAAGCAGGCAAGCGGGTTAGGGAAGACAAAAATTTAGGTGGGCAAGTGCAGCACCGATTAGACTGGCAGAATATGGGACAGGCCTTTGTCCGACAGTTGGCGTGGTCAGACTGACGATGATGATAGTACGTGAGGTAAATTTATGCTATACCAGCCTATATTCTTGTTTCTCTGCACCTTACTCTTATTTCAGCCCCTCACTACGCATTTATGCTGAACTATGCATTGTTATGCTATGCTAGCAGCTGTTTCACACATGTTTCTCTTTCCTGCCCCTCGGTATGCTATACTGTATATGGCTATGCCATGAAATCTATGGTTTACCCTCTCACCTTCTTTTTTTCTCCCCCTCCCCTTGTAGCACGAGTGCATCTTGCCCCCACTCTCTCTCATCACTTTGCTAATATAATTTGCTTGATTATAACCTGTTTACCCTTTCCCATCCTCTTTTCTTCCTCCTCTACGTCACTTCTGCTTTTCGCCCATTTGCTATGTTATACTATATTATGCAAAACAATTGCTATGGTGGCAGCTGTCTGGCACTAAACCGCTTTCTTTGGCATCTACCCGGTCAGTATTCTGCGGGAAACTGCATACTTTCAACTGCGTACAATGTCTAAGCATCTGAGCTGTTAAAATAGTTTCGGGTGAGTTGATATTTCTCGATAAAAAGCCTAATAATACACAAGAAGCACTCTTCAAGGAATAACATGTGCACTGAAAGTATCGTTTACTACCGCGACAATACGATGAATGCCTGCAGACTTCCTGGTGTAGTCTTACAAATAAGCACGCAATAAAAAGATGTATTGTGCCATCAAAACAAGCAGAATCCTTGCTTTCGACAGTTGCTTCGATGAGCAATGTTTTGTTATATAGTGTACCATGGTATATTTTGAAAATTGAAGTTACACGCATTCACAAAAAAAAGGCGATAAAGCTGACGTTCCCATTTGGTTAACTGTGTCTTGCTGAACCTCAAAGTGATGATGAACAGTGGAGGTGCTTAGTGTAATTTATGTTTTATAATGGCCAAAACTACTCAAACACAGAAACTTGGCCCTCCTATAAACCTTTGTGTCAATTGCTTATGCAATACAATGTTTCCAAAGAGTCATCCCAATATTTACGCTGTTAAACTCACGATACCTTTGCATTGACGCTGAAGGATATGCAAGGATATGGGTATCACAAATCACACGCTACATTAAAAACTTAAGAGAATAACGTGGGTTCAATTTTTCATAAACATGTACTGCTTGCTTTCATGCTGATGATGGTGTCGATGGTGAAAGGATTGGAAGAAATACGTGGACAATTATTCCTCAGTAGCTAAAGGCACTACCTTTTTAATTTCTGATTGCACCTTTTGGCATAGGCAAAGGTAAATATTCACACAAGCCACCGTGGAATTTTCTTGAGTCAATGGTTTGTGCAGGTGCGCATGACTCCGTTGCAGTTGTTGCTTGGCGAAATGGTCTTTAGGGCAATGACACCGGGCGCTGAGCATCTCGCTCTTGAAGCAGAACGCGCTTGAGAAGCATTTTAACAGCTGTGAAAAAAACCGTCGAGGTATTGAGCTGACAATCAGGAAATGGTTGCGTATGGATAATTTAAGCCGAGTTGAATGAACTTTCTGAAAGAACTCTGATCAATGCGCTTGCTACAAAGGGCCGCTTCAGCGACAGTCGACGCCAAATCCACCTGAATGTGACTGCCGTTCGCGAGGCTGATTCCCCGTTCGCTATAGCTCTCTTTAATAGCAGTATCTCTCTTGCTTCAAACCTTCAAATAGGGGTCTCGGTCATAATCGAGACCGCTGGCAGCGTGAATATCGTTGGGTTCTCATGGGCCTAATTTTTTAAGTGGAATTATTG